AAAAATGTCATGATGTTTTATAACTATATATAGTTATATATAATATATATAGTTAGAAAAACTATATATATATAGTTTTTCTGCAAAATTCAAATTTTCTTTTTCAAATATAATTATAATAATATAAGCTTTTTTGACCATTCATATTAAGTAATAATATTTAATTCCTAATTAAAATGACAATATTGACACATTCTTTTATTCTTTTAGATGATTTCTAGGCTTGTAACAATAATTGTTTACATTGCATCAAAACAGGGTGAAGAATTTGATATAACAGTGAAATGTAAAATGTCTTGACTGAAGTCTAGACCAGCATTGTCCAACCCACAGCCTGCAGGCAGCCCACTCGATGTTTTTGTGCAGCCTGCAGGTGACCCACTCAATGTTTTTGTGCAGCCCTTTTAAAACAGTAATTATCTTGTATAGATTTTTATTACAATGAAATATCACATGTATAGTTAAATACATTAATATGATGTATAACACCTTATTATGTACAATCAGAAATTAAAACAGTATTAAATATTTTTTAACAAAGCTTCAAATGTATTACATATAATATATATGTAGGTGCAGTACATACTGTATATATATGTATTTAATCAGTATGTTTACAATAACAAATATTTTTAAATTGGTGTTTTAGTATAATGAAATTATTTTTCCTTAAATTTACCATATATGTAATAAATGTCAAGCAATATATACATTCTTAAGTTACAATGGTCTTCTGTGTTTCCAATATATAATAAGAAATTTTATTGTTTTCTTTAAATTCTTTGGAAATAAGCCTAATAAAATTTCAATTAGAATTACACATTTACACGTGCATATAGATTTAAAATTTCAAATCATTCCGTGTTTAGATTGTTAATGGGTTTAATTTGTTTTACTGTGCAAGTTATTTGATTATAGTCAGTCACCAAGGGGCGCTTCATGTAACAGTTATGTTCTGTAGGTCATTTCAAAATTGGATGACCGTTAGTTACTGGTTTTCTTTTTTTTGATCTGGCAGTCATTTTTAATACAGTTATTCTGTTTAGCTATCTCTGCTAATTAATTAGTAGAAAAATGCTTTAAAAAATTTTGGAAATTGAGAGAAGAAATTTGAATTTTTATAAATGAAAAGGACCAGAATGTTCCTAAATTATATGATGACAGTGATTTTTGAATTTATGTTTCCTTACTAATATTACAATGAAATTAAATGAACTTAATAAGCAGCTTCAAGGTGAAAACAAATTGATCACAGACTGTTCTCAAAACATAAAAGCATTCATAGCAAAACTCAAACTTTATGAGTCAGTTAAAATCAAAAACTACAGTTCATTGTCCAAAATTACATAAATTTAATAGTGACAAAAAACATTTTTATAAATATGCACAAGTTANTTGCCAGGAAAGTGAGCAAACTCATTGTTGGTTTATTTAGAATTTATGATTTTAAGGTGTCCATTATACAATTAGCATAAACTAATGTTTAAGTTGATAATGAGTCTGGTAGAAATAACTCTTGCTTGCATAGATATAACAGAATTTAAGATAAAATTTTTTGAAAGAACCTTAAACAGTCAAAACTTTGGCAGCTAAAATATTTTTTTTTTAAACTGTTTTTTTATACTGTTTTTTTTTTTTTAATAAAGTGTACTAATTTATAACTATCTCTTATTCAAAGGCAACTATTAGCAAAATAAATCCAGTAACTTTGTTTTTATTTTCAAACAGGGAATTGAAATTAGGAAGAACTTGAGAAGGTTTAATGGGTTTCCTTTTACGAAAGAATCTTCGGAATTTGAGAAGAAGAAAAATAATCTTGACAAGTATGTAAAACCTTTAATTGTGTCACAAATTTGTTTACTTCAACATAATTTTTTAATGGACATATTTTAGAAATGTTCAAGATATAGCTTTTTTTAGTGATTATCCTGAATTGAGAGAGATTGAAAGTCTGATAATGTGCTGTAATAAATAATAATAATAATATATGATTATTAACGTAATGAAAGAGATGATACAATAACGTATTCTGCTGATATTATACAATTTGATACTTGGTTCTATCTATACTATACAAGTATTCATAGTAAATGAAAACCTGAAAACTCGTTGATTTAGGGAATATTCACTTTGTTTATTAAAAAAATTCCAATTTAAATATAAAGAAGTAAAAGTTAACAAATTAACTTATGGGTTAATTAATGTGCTTTCTTAACTTATGGACTTCTTTCAGATCTGGGCTTTAGATATTTGTAATTGTCAACTTTGTCTAAGCCTGGCTCTGGCCCTGTTTTTAAGAAAAAACTCAATACACTTTGAATAAATTAAAAATTGTACAGAAAAGTTTTCAGATTGAAAATCATTGCCAAATCATAACATGGTCATCAGTGGCAAATCATAAGCAGAGAGGACACTATTTACTGTGGGTTAATTTTACAGCATGATATGTCTGTTGTGGCAAAACAATGTAAAAGATCCATATCAAAAAGAAGGAAAGAAAGATCAGACCTTCAGTTTATAAAACTGATTCTGGTGTATTGGGTTAAGATCTGTTATCTGTAATTAAAAATTTATTTATGCTTCAAGAAAAGTATGGTAGATAGAAGAATTAAAGCAAAATATATGAACTTTGAATAATCATTCTTCCAAACTAGTTTGCTACACAAAACCAAAAATAGTTTGATATGAATCAACTGATTTTGTAGTGGAGAGACCAACATGCAAGTAATGTGGCTTTCTTCTTTATCCTGTGGAAAGTATAGTATAAAAATATTAAAGAATTTAAAATTTTTGTAAATACCTTATGTGATTTATTGGTTTCTATATTAGATGGAGTAGAACCATGTGTTTCTTTATCAGCAGCAAGAAGAATATATAAAGGCAGTGGTGGTATTGATTGAATTTCAACATAATCTAGTTGTACTTCTTCAGGAAAAACAGAAATTGATCCTTGTGGATCTAAAGGACTGTGTGTATTGGGGGATGCTGTTGCAGCCATAGATAAAGCTCTTGATCGAGACCATGAACGCACTCCACTTTCAGAATCACTCTCTCTATCTATACTTTCAGGAACTTGAAGGTAAGTTTTCTAAATTCATAAAATAATCTGTCACTTTTTATACTTGAAACATTTTAACTAAAAAAAACATATACCTTAATATTTTCAGTCCCAGATAAACAACGAACTAAATGATTTAAAATTGCTTTAACTCTTCTTATTTTGCCAAAACTCATCATTTCCATGAGTTGTTTTGGATGATATTGAGGAAGCACAGGACAAGCTAATCGACTAGCTTCAAATATTCCAAAATCAGGAAGGGATCCCAAACTTGCAACACTATCTCTGAAATATTAATAAATATAAATGGTTATAGTTGTATTTGAAATAAAATTCAAATTTGTGTTATTCTATATTTGTATCTTTCAGTTGTAAAAAAACTTGATTAAATAATATCTTACAATACTTATCATTGACAATTATTAATAAATTCTTCTTTATAATTTATTGATTTTTATTTTTATTAAACTTTGAATATTTAAAATTCTAACAAAGTTCCTATTCCAAAATACTGTATTTACTCACACATAAGATAAGGTTTTTATTCATTTTTGACTGCTTCAAAAACCTAGATTGTCCTATACATGCGAACAAAAGACTCTGTGTTTTTTTGCAATAATTTTTGTGAACCGTGTATACTTCATGCTGTTATTATAGGTCTATAGTCTATTTATTGTAAGTTGGCACCTACTGTAAACAAATTAAGACACACACCCCTTTGTTTATTGGTTTAATCCTATATCCATCAATTAAAAACTGCATTACATCTCATTCATTCGCAGAAAATAATTTCTTGTTATTTATAAAAACAATGAAATACAGGTCACTTAGCAATGATTATAAATGTATTATTTTATATTAGTTAAATTGTTATTTTTAATGAACATTAGCACATTCTGAATCATTAAAAATAAACTTTTTCCGGTCATGTGCACTATAATGTTTTGGTTTTGTTTTCCATTCATCACATATTAAAGCAAACATGGTTGTTTGCTTTAATACGTGCATTTGATAATATTTTGTGATTAAATGAAATAAAATTAGAATTGTATTAATAAAGCTAATTTTCTTTATTTTGATCTCTAAAGTCACACCTCATCNAGTGGTGTGGAGTTGCAAGTATATGTGCATTGCTGATGCTGGGAGAAGATACCTGATTTTTTTTTGCCGATGAAATTCATCAACTTATCCAATGATGGCATGCATGTATGACAGGTATGGTGACTACATAAAAAAGGAATGGCATTCTCTGGTAGAGGATGTTACACGTTTTCAGCAGACATAAGTTCATGTACCATACATATTATTGAGATTAGAAAAGTTCTACCTCCTATGTGATAAATTGCATCATATATTTGAATAAATGTATTTACCTTTGGAATTAAATACTGTGGTATAAGAATTAATAAGAAATTTTCATTTTAGGAATTTTATGAACAATTTGTATAATATTCCAAATGAATATATAATTAAATAAACGCCCACAATTGCCATAAATAATCGGGCTCAACGGCAATTGTGGGTGTATATTTGCTATGCATAAGGTTTCGATTGATGTTTATATATTTGAATATATAATTATACACAATATAGAACTTTATACCTTGGTGAAGTAAATTTAGATTGGTTTTCTCGTTTCTTTTTTCCCTCTACTCCAGCTGTAAGAATATTGTAAGAAGTTGAACGTGATAAATTCCCTGTAGCAGTAGCTGGTAAACGAAGTTGAGATGCTTCTTGAGCTCTTGACAAAAGTTCTTGTTCCTTCAAATTTCTACTATCCACTCCTACTTCTTCTTTTTCTTCGCATTGAGATTCAACATCTATAATTTGACATTAAATTATAATTTAATATAAATATTATATTTTTTCATCATGAGAAATGTTTTAATTATATTTTACTATTATCCTATTTAATTGCATACATAATTTAACCAATTATTTCCGTTATATGTATTGATATTATCATTAATTCTTTTGATACTGTAATAAATGTATTCTGTTTTTCTTTGAATAAATAATTTTTGTTTCATGATAATTAATCTTTGACTTAAAAATTATAATTAATTATTAATGTAATATAAAAGATAGTCTTAAATCTATGATTTTATATAATAATAATAATTAATCCCTTTTGTACCTAAGTTATGTAGATGATAAATAGTTAGCCTGAAATATAATTAATGAAGAACTATTAGCTTTTTTTTACAAGTTAGCCTCAATCTTTCCCACAATCAATTTCACATTAGAACAGGAAGAGGATAATAACCCCATTTGTTATGATTTGAACATACCTATATAGTATTCTTGTTTATCCTTTAATATGTAACATAAATTTAATGTGACTCTCATCATCAAACAATACTTTTAAACTCTTTCCAATCTCCTGCTGATAAAAATATGGTCATCACAGCTTTAATTTGTAAAGTATATTTATCTCACCAGTGCTAGTGTCTGCAGAGTTAAAATTCTTCATTTCCATAATTATAAAAGTGAATTATAATTGAGTATCTCAACTTTAAAGCATGATGTTCTTCATTTCCCATCTCTAATATGCAAAAAAAAAGGCATAGTTGAGATGGGAAATATTTCCTGAAGTTTCCATTCCATTGACAATCCCTATAGAGTTGATTTGACTAAAGCTAAACCAGACACACCACTGTTATTAGTCTACAGAAATGCTAATTTTAAGAATTAGATATGAAGTAATTTGACAAGAGATAGATAGTTAAATGCCATCTCATGATAATTTATCATGAGATGACAATCTAAACATGTTTTAAAAATGCAGTTACAATTATTTTTGATAATTCTGTGTATAATATAATTATGACAGAATCTGAAATGATAGAATCTAAAATAATAATTAAATTACATTTTGATAAACTAAAGAAATATATACCATCACAAATGGGTTTCCACTGACTATATATGTGCATTTCATTATCCATTCCAACTACCAAAATACCATCTCGAACCCATGAGATCTGCATTGGAAGAGGTAATAAACCATCGGCAGTTTTTAAATGAGTTGTTCGGATACGCATCCATCTAATCTCTTCAGCATGTAACAGAGGTGCCACCATAGAAGAAGCTTGTTTAAGAAGAGGACGACTAGCTGATTTTGATGCTTTCATTGCTTGAACATTTGCTTGTGCTATATCTGTTGATACAGGTGTAAATAATAAAACCTAAAAAGAATTAAATAATTACAAATTTAGTTTATTACTATTTGATCAATATATATATATATATATATATGTCTTGAACAACACCTTATATACTTTTTCAGAACACTTTAATTTATTTAAACAATCATTTTTGACCCTTTTCATAGGTCTGTATCAGGTTTAATAAATACACAAGATGATTCAAACTGAAAGTTTCAATTAACATTATTACAGAATATTTTTAACAAATTAAAATAGAATTTCAAACACAAACAGCTGTGTATTTTAACTGGATACTAAACATGATATATATGAATAAAATATTACAAAATTCAATTACGAGATAAATTCATTGTAAAATGAAACCAATATAATAAAATAAATTACAGTAAAATTACAAATATAATAAAAATACAACAAAAAAGGGAGAGAAAAAAAAGTAAAATTATAAAATAAAGTAAAAAAAAGAAGGGTTGTAGCTTAAGACAGCTTGTAAGCCTGATATACTCAGTGTCTACTACATGAGTATATGTCATTTGATTGCCACATTGTCGTAATTTGCCACATTTGATTGCCACATTGACTGGTGAATTACCTGGTAATCACTGGTAATTCACCAGTGATTACCAGGATTCTGATAACGTTTCTTTTTGTTATTATTAATACAATGACCTGACCTCAAAGCAAAAAATATTTCATATGCTTCTAGTGTTCTTAGCTTATGCATTTGAAAAACTCTTTTTATCAGTTTTGCATGGTCCCAGCATGCCAACATCCTGGGTTCACTTGCTATTTGGATCAGTGCTATAGTATGTGTATTTCTATTAATGTTGTATTTATGTTCTTTTATTCTTTGCATTAATGATCTGTTTGTTGCACCTATATATGTTGGTCTTTGATTAAATCTATCATCCTGAACTGGAATTGCATATACTCCTGGAGGTAAGCTGTTATTGATATTGTCTTTGCCAGTTGTTAGAAGCCTGAAGATGCTGGAACTGCATTTATAAATTTTAGTTGTATTTTTTTATAGTCATAATTTTACTGTAATTTATTTTTTATATTGGGTTCATTTTACAAAGTATCTGAATCAAATTTTGTAATATTTCATACATATATATTATGTTTAATATCCAGTTAAAATACAGTTGTTTGCATTCAAAATCATATTTCAATTTGTTTAAAAAATGCTGTAAGAACATTAATTAGAACTTTCAGTTCAAATCTTATTTATATGTTAAGCATGATGCAGACCTATAAAAAGGATTGAAATTATTTGTTTAAATAAATAAAACTGTTGTTGAAAAAGTAATTAAGATGTTTTTCAAGCTAAATTTTTTCAGCTTGTATAAATGTGTTTTTTATATATGTAAATCTCAAAATACTATATACAGTGGTACCTCAGGTTACGAACGCCCCAGCATACGAAATTTTCAGGATACGACATGAAATTCGAACATATTTTTGCTCCACGATACGAACAAAAACTCACCATACGACGTTACATTAGTTCGCATTTTTCATTTGTTTTTCTTACTACAGTTATTTTTTTAATGTATTACTTGGCTTTAATTTGAGTATGTTTTTCACGTTGGAACGAATTCTTTGGTTTTACATGTAATCGTTTGGGAAAAGATGATCCACCTTACGACATTTTCATGATACGATCTCAGTTTCGGAACGGATTAATTTCGTATCCTGAGGTACCACTGTACTATTGTATCTTGCAAATGTATTTCCATTAAATGAGAAAATATTCATTTACACATTCATTAAATTATTTTCAGTATGAACTGTCACTCAGATGACATAAAAGATATATTTTTAGAGTGAACATGGAGTGAAATACAAATTGTTAATATCTAAATTTTTTAAAAATTAGTAAATAATATTGTATTTTACATGACTCATGCCATATAATTTGCATAATTTATTTAAAAGTCATTTTTAAAATAGACAAAAACATATATACAAATTTTATATAGCATTTAGGATTGCAAATTTATCATTTAAAATTAAATTTTTGTGAAAAAATTATACTGTTTTATATATGTATATATATATTCACACACAATGCAAATCCTCATTTATCATCATCAATAGGTTCTTGGAAATGCAATGTTAAGTGAAAAAAACAACATGTAATGGAACCAGGTTTATATAGACTAAATAACAAAATATATAATTCAGTTATTATTATTCTGTTTGGATTTCATTTGTAACCTCCAGCATTTACTTTTCACCTCAGAGAATCAATTTTATCATTTATAAAGAAAGTTCAACAATGATAATTTAAATTATTACAACATTAAAATTTAGTAGTAATTACAACATTTTGTGAGCTATTTCCATAAAAAAATTGAATATAACCAAATTACATTTAGCTGATATATAATAATGATTCTCAAATAAAGTTGAGAAAAACTACAAAATTACACTAATAATTAGTTTATCAAGGTTTACTATAAAATTGGGAAAACTATTTAACTTCCACATAATTATTTAACTGTAATTAAAAATTAAACTTACTTTTGATCCAACTGCCACTGTAAGAACATGAGAACCATCCTCAGTTGAAACCCAATCTAACTGTACTAAAGATTTTTGAGTAAGAGGACATTGATTTCCCTGTTCAGAAATTACATGACGTAATGTTTGAAGTGTAGTATAACTAGGAACAGATAATATATGTTGTAATGAAGGACCATGTTCATTCTCAAAATCATCACTGGATGTTAATTTTTGTCTTAGTGTATCTACAGTTTTTCTATTTCTAACAGATACATCAACTAACTCAGCAAGATCCCAAGAACTTTCCATTTTTTTATGTGGCAAAACAACATTTTTTAAACGAATTGTGTCTTCTAATATCCACTCTGATCCGCCAGTTGACTCACACTCAAATATAGAAATGCATAAGTTAACATAACGATTTTCGGGATTTTCCGACGAAGGACGCATAAATGATCTTCCACATTTGTATGCACAAGCAAGTCGGCCACTATAAGCACTACTAACGAATAATGGCTGACCTAAATAAATAAAAACAAAGAAATTTATTTCCAAAATCATAATATAAATTCATATTACTAACTGTTAATCAAAATTTGAAGATTTCAACTTCACTATATAGTACAATTTAAGATGAGAAATATTTTTTTATGGATAAAGAATGTGATAATTTTTAACCTAGAAATATCTTACCTGAAACTTGAACAGCACTAGATTTTCTATTTAGCATCATCTCCCATTCAATCCATGTGTATTCTTTATTTGCATAATGATCTTTCTTTAAATCTGCTTTTACATTTTCCTTATTATTAATATCACATTTCCAAAATCTAAAAATCAACATTTGCTTTATTATTTTATAAGTAATGATGTTTATTAAAATTAATATCAATAAAACAGATATATTATACAATGCTAAAAGTTTAAGAATAACCATTTAATTTGATATTTTTTTCAAGACTAAATTAATATCATCATATTATAAAATAATAAAAATAAAATTTTTGAACAAAAGGATAGATTAACAGTTTGAAAAAAAACATTGAAAAACTTTTAAAAATAATCAATGGCATGCAATAAAATTAACGATATTTTATTAGTAGTTATTATATTAAAAACATTTATAAGTCTTTAAACATTCAATCACTTATATTACTATTAATGTAATTTTTTTTCCTGCAAAATTATGAGAAATTAGCTAATTATCATAGCACAAACTAATCAAGTACATAATAGCTTAAATTTATATTATTTTGGTAATTTGATGATAATTTTTTCTGATGATTATACAGATTGTAGCAAAATAATTACTGGTATATTCGAAATAAAAATGATATATGTATTTTTCTAATATTGATTTTTGTTACATTAATATAGTTTTCAACTAAAATTTTAACTTTATTGCAATTATGGTTTAAGGCATTATGAATAGCTTATTGCAACATTTCATAAAATAGTAGTAACTAATATTTATTACCTAACAGTTCCATCAGAACAAGCAGTACATAATAAATATGGAGCAAAACATGCTGGATAAATGTTAGAAGAACTAAGGTGTCCTGCTGCAGGTGTTGCATGAATAACTTCCACATCAGATGGTAATGGTAAAATTTGTTGACATATCTATATTTTAAGAAATTTAAAATAAAACAAAATAAAACATTAAAAAAGTAATACAGTATATATGTATAATTAAAAATTAGTAAATAATATTGTATTTTACATGACTCATGCCATATAATTTGCATAATTTATTTAAAAGTCATTTTTAAAATAGACAAAAACATATACACAAATTTTATATAGCATTTAGGATTGCAAATTTATCATTTAAAATTAAATTTTTGTGAAAAAATTATACTGTTTTATATATGTATATATATATTCACACACAATGCAAATCCTCATTTATCATCATCAATAGGTTCTTGGAAATGCAATGTTAAGTGAAAAAAACAACATGTAATGGAACCAGGTTTATATAGACTAAATAAAATATATAATTCAGTTATTATTATTCTGTTTGGATTTCATTTGTAACCTCCAGCATTTACTTTTCACCTCAGAGAATCAATTTTATCATTTATAAAGAAAGTTCAACAATGATAATTTAAATTATTACAACATTAAAATTTAGTAGTAATTACAACATTTTGTGAGCTATTTCCATAAAAAAATTGAATATAACCAAATTACATTTAGCTAATATATAATAATGTTTCTCAAATAAAGTTGAGAAAAACTACAAAATTACACTAATAATTAGTTTATCAAGGTTTACTATAAAATTGGGAAAACTATTTAACTTCCACATAATTATTTAACTGTAATTAAAAATTAAACTTACTTTTGATCCAACTGCCACTGTAAGAACATGAGAACCATCCTCAGTTGAAACCCAATCTAACTGTACTAAAGATTTTTGAGTAAGAGGACATTGATTTCCCTGTTCAGAAATTACATGACGTAATGTTTGAAGTGTAGTATAACTAGGAACAGATAATATATGTTGTAATGAAGGACCATGTTCATTCTCAAAATCATCACTGGATGTTAATTTTTGTCTTAGTGTATCTACAGTTTTTCTATTTCTAACAGATACATCAACTAACTCAGCAAGATCCCAAGAACTTTCCATTTTTTTATGTGGCAAAACAACATTTTTTAAACGAATTGTGTCTTCTAATATCCACTCTGATCCGCCAGTTGACTCACACTCAAATATAGAAATGCATAAGTTAACATAACGATTTTCGGGATTTTCCGACGAAGGACGCATAAATGATCTTCCACATTTGTATGCACAAGCAAGTCGGCCACTATAAGCACTACTAACGAATAATGGCTGACCTAAATAAATAAAAACAAAGAAATTTATTTCCAAAATCATAATATAAATTCATATTACTAACTGTTAATCAAAATTTGAAGATTTCAACTTCACTATATAGTACAATTTAAGATGAGAAATATTTTTTTATGGATAAAGAATGTGATAATTTTTAACCTAGANGGACCTACTAAAAACCATTTATTATTTAACGTCCATAAAAATTATATTTATATTAATGATGTCTCCAAAGTTCAGTGAATTTTTTGCAAAAAAAAATAATTTATCAGGAAGCACATGAGCGCCATTCGATGACAAGCTCACAACAAAAACAAGCTTAAGCAATGGCATAGTCGAACGGTGCACACTCAGTAAGTAATCCTACAATTTTTTGTTTATAGCATAGTTTATATGGATTATTCCCAAAAAATTATACGTATTTTGGAAATGTTGAGTCGAATTAGTCTAGAATCGATTAATTTTATGGAAGAAACTTTTCAAACAGCCGTAGTCCGTAAACTGCATATATGCTGGGCTGTGATTGGCTGGACTCGTAGAAAATGGATTCATAAAAACCAGAACGTATGTACTGTGTTATAGGAGGGTCAACTGTAATATATTTTAAATGAAATAAAATAAGTAAGTGAAATTTTGAACTTCCAGATTGATTGTTTTATGAAAAAAATTTTTTTTACTAATCAATATAATAAATAAGCTTATCAAGTGTAAAAAATTATATAAAACTTTTTTGATAAAATAATGAATTGATAAAACTAAACTTGAAATTAAAAAACTTACAAATCTAAACTAATGTTTGGTTGTTTTGTTTATTTTTTTGGGTGTAAATTATAATTTTATTAATTACAGTACTTTATAAACTTTTGCAGGTAATGGAAACTGAACGTATGATATATCTAGTCACTGAATATGCCAGTAAAGGTGAAATATTTGGTAAGTTACACCTTAATTTCTAGTTTAAAATTTTTATAGTAAAATTATTCTACATTTGTATTAGATAATTAAGTTTCAAAATTACTATATTGTAAATTATACAATCTTTAGCTTATAATGCAAAACTTTTTTAAAATGTAAATAAATGTAGATGGTATTAATTACTCATCTGTTGTAAGAGAAAAAAGTCTGGAATTATAATTAAATAATTTTGACTGTTAAAAGTGAATGGTAAATGATATTAAAAGAATATATTTTCTGTATTATAAATAAATTCAATTTAGTTTTTGTAATGAATGAATATTTAAATAAATGAGTGAAAATGATTCATGATAGATTATAGTATACAGAGAAAAAATATACAGATATTTCTTGATTAATGCAGTTAATTAATCCCTCAATGCTACTGCATATATCAAAATCACATTAATCAAATACAGAGGGACTTTGATACTCGATTTGACTATCACCACCTGCTAGAATAAATTTTTGGTTAATAAAAAATATTTTTATTTATAGATATCATAAGATCATAAAAATAAATTAATGTGAATATGAACATACACACAAAAATGATAAAAAAAATCCATAAAATCATGAAAAAATGAGCAAAAATTATCATTATATTGTGTGATATTATACAATAATGAAAAAATGGGAGTATGAGCTGCTGACCAATATAACACTATTTTAGTTCATATGACTTCATGTACATGATATATACTACCAAACAAAAGATCAAATGAAATGAGAAATGAAAGAAGAGTATATCATGATAACTACAGTACTTGTACAAGTGCACACTTATTGTAGTTACCATGATATGCAATTCTTTGATGTAATCTCAAAAATTTGTATGAAAGTTACAACTCTGTTTTATTATTATAAATGAACATAAAAATAAAAGTGTTCTGTTTTGTCTGATCTTAAGTTACTCATTGACTGGTATTATATACTCTACAGTATCTATTCAACTAATAAACAAGTGAACATATTTATCAAGTCCTGTTTATTATTATGTCTATTACTACAATTATTATTTATATATAATAATTTATATGTAGTTAAATAGATATATTTAAACAAATTAATAAACTTGAAAAGTAATTATATTATTTAATTTAATCATTTATTAGAAGTAATGTCATAATGACACGAAAATAAATTAATTAAATAAGCAATACTACAAAAATATAAACAAATTACATGTTAAAACATTAAAAACTTTCATTTTAAATATTTTTACAAATTTTTTGGTTTATATGTTTAATTTAGAAAATAACTGCATTATATGTAAAGAAACATATGAAAAAAGCAAATAAATATTTAAATATCACTCATATAAATGTAATTCACTCAATTAAGTTTAATTAAATAAATAAATTTACTATCCCATTTATTTTACTTTCTGTATTTATAAATATACACCAATATTTCTTACTTTAGTAGTTGTTATCTGAAGTGGAGAAGCATGCAAAGATGAATGTATGTTATCATTTCCAGGTTCAGGACTATTGCTTCTTGAAGAATGAGTTGAATGAATATCATCCTGTATTAAATTACTTTCAGGAATTAAAGGTAATTCTGGATCATGGTCTGAAATAAATAAGCAATAAAATCAATAATGTAAAGTTGAACTAAAACTTATATATATATATATATATTTTTTTTTTTTCTGAATTTTCTAATGGTAGCTGTTTATTTGTTTATTAAGTAACATCTCTTCAATCCAAAAAAAAACTTCCGGTAGACCACCTCACAGCCCATTCAGGTTATAAAACTCCTTTTATTGCTTTTTTACAGATGCATTTCGAGCCAGGTTAACTTTCTAGCTCCTCTTCAGTGCTACAAAATAAACTTTAATTATAAAATTGACAAAAAAACAACGCGAGTAGAAAATATATACAAAACAATAAAAACATCTCTCATAATACCTTAAGAGTTTCCATAGGTTACAATGGCTTAATTTCACACTTATATGGTACTATTACACTTATACGGTACTTTTAGTCCATTTACAATGCTTTTACCAACATAAAGAATTATATTAAAAGCGTTTATCGTGTTATATCGAAAGGATGTACAGCTTGCTACACTAGTAATTATAAATTATGAGATTAAGTAACATTTTACAATAACAACCTTCCCTTATATAACTAATATTTTTGATAACTGTTCTAAACTTTTAAACAAGGATAATGCAGTTTTGGCACCATCTTTGACCAATAAAATCTCACATGAAATTCATAAACTAGGAAAACACAAAACCAATGCTGATAAATTGAAGAAAACTGGAATTGTTTATGGAATTAATTGTAACTGTCAAAATCCGAAAAAATACATAGGAGAAACAGGAAGGACTTTAGAATTACATATTAAAGAACATGAAGCTGCCATAAAACTAAAACATAATAATTCCCCTTGGTTTAACTATATCAAAAATAGCAACTGCCAAATAGATAGAAATAATATTAAAGTCCTATACTATGAAAAAGACATTTATAAATGTAAATTCAAAGAACACAGAGATAATAAAATACAATAATGATAATTTAATAAATGTGTCAAATTGTATGCAAATCAACCAGCAATGGTATAACATAATAGAGGGCGCAAAGATAAGTTAGTTAATTATAACGTAAGGATTATACATTGTCACAAAAATCTTTTTGTATTTTAATGGTCTTAAAAGGATATACAACACATACTGTTATATTTTCAAAATAATAAGCTTTTAATTAATAAGAAACCTGTATGTATATTTATATTTATATATTTTTTAAATGTTATTGTAAAATGTTACTTAATCTCATAATTTATAATTACTAGTGTAGCAAGCTGTACATCCTTTCGATATAACATGATAAACGCCCTTAATATAATTCTTTATGTTGGTAAAAGCATTGTAAATGGACTAAAAGTACCGTATAAGTGTAATAGTACCATATAAGTGTGAAATTAAGCCATTGCAACCTATGGAAACTCTTAAGGTATTATGAGAGATGTTTTTATTGTTTTGTATATATTTTCTACTCGCATTGTTTTTTGTCAATTTTATAATTAAAGTTTATTTTGTAGCACTGAAGAGGAGCTAGAAAGTTAACCTGGCTTGAAATGCATCTGTAAAAAAAGCAATAAAAGGAGTTTTATAACCTGAATGGGCTGTGAGGTAGTCTACCGGAAGTTTTTTTTCGAATTAAAGAGATGTTACTTAATAAAACTTATATATTTATTAATGTTCATACTAATATTTGACTATAAGAGGAAAGTAAATTATTAATTTAATAATTATACAATATTGTTGTGATGATTTTATATGAAGAATAACTAATAAACTATATTTCTGTAATTTTCAAGTATACTTCAAAATCAGAAATATAATATGTATTAATTTGCACAGTTATGAACTTTAGCTTAAAATCATTAAAAATTTTCACAAAATACTACTAAATTTTCTACTATCCATTTATTCTGTAATCTAAACAGATCATTGACAAATGTATATATGTAACTAAAAATTCAAATACATACTTTATCTATTTGATACAATATCTATATTATATCATATAAACGTTTTTCATTTATTTAACTTAATTCTTTCACGAATCACATACTATCATGATTATCTCAGACATATTACACATCATTTAAATTTCCAAATATTTCAATTACCGTATTTACTTGAATATTAGACAATGTCGCATATAGGATGAGGTGTGACTTTAAAGATCAAAATAAAGAAAATTAGATTTATTAATATCAATACAATTCTAATTTTATTTCATTTAATCACAAATAAAATATCAAATGCATGTAAATGCACACACTGTCCCACAAAACTTACTGGCATTTTAAACTTAAAGGAAAAATCTTGTAAAATTGACAACATAATTTGTTCATGTAAAGCTGGACAATTGGAAACCTTTTCTTTGCCAATTCTTAACAGTCGAATTCACTCTTCATCAATTACACTTATGAGTTTCTTCGAATTTCCAAATAACCATCTATTTTCACGTGGGAATGGATTAAAACTTATATCAGGCTCTGTGTGATTTTGGAATTTCAATTTGGAATTAAATTCAAAAGCTTTGCTTTTCCTATTACTATTCAATTTTACTCCTGGCAATATACAAGAAAGATTCAAACGATTCACATAAAATACTTTTGTTTTTAAACACCAGAAGGTGTGAATCCGGTAAAATATGCAAATACATACTTTACAAAAATTATACAAAAGCGCAAAGAATCCTTCGCTCGCATGTATAGGATGACCTAAGTTTTTGAAGCAGTGAAAAATGGATAAAAACCTCAATCTTATATGCGAGTAAATACGGTAAATTATTTGATGTATACTGCAGAATCTGTATTTCATAATCTATTTAAATGTCATCATTTTATTCTTGAGCATGTTTAGTTGATTGTTTCAGGTAAAATAATATATAAATGATGGTTGTACAAGCATCAAACAACACATTTTAGTAATATATTACTGATTGATTTTTGCTCTCAAAATAATTAATCACTTAGTTGTTATAGAGAGACAAGAACCTTCATGAAAGAAAATCTCAAACAAAAAGTAATCAATTAGCAATACAATAGAATATATATTAAAACTGAAAACAATCTCTACAAAATCTAAAATTTAAAGATTTAACAAAAATCAAAGTAAAATCAACTATAATCATTTGAACAATTTTAACTTTATAATTTTTAACTTTAGCTAGCTTTATAATTAGTTCACAATATCAAACAGAAAGTTTGCAGTTAATATTCTATTATGTAAAAAGTTAATTTAAATGAATGTAGTGTTAAAAACCAGTTTTTGCTTTGAGAATTTATACCAGTAATTACAGCAAAATTATTATTTAGCAGTTAATTACAAATGGCAAATCATTAATAATTTTATAAAAAAAATAATAATAAAATTCTACTTAAAAACATGAATAATTGTGTGTTGAAAGAACAAAATATACACATTAAATATATGAAGAAATTTCTCCCAAATCCATATTAGCTCAGAAACATTACCAAAAATACAGGGAAAAAGTGAAATCTCCTCTGCACATGGCGCTGGTATTGATGAAGCTGTAAACAGACAAAGCGATATTGTTGATTGTTAAAACATATCAAGTACCATTTGTTAATTCTTAAAATAATTATTGGATAAATGTATCTCGTTTAAAATTTCAAAAATGCCAAGTATGTGATGCTGTGTACCACATTGTTCTAATAGTGCTGGTCACAAGTTTTCAAAAAATCTAGTATTGTGAAAGAAATGAGCTTACTGTTAAATGAGCAAGACTCACAGTCCCAAACCAGTTGTTCTTGACTTTAATAAAATTAAGAGTGAATACAGCAAATTTTGAGTTGAGTAGGATGTTCAGTGTATCTGAAGAAACAGTACAAAATATTTTCATCAGTTGGATCAATTTCATGTATTTACAATGGCAAGGGTTAGATATATGGAGTGAGAGATCTCTTGTTGACATATACATGCCTAGTGATTTTAAAATGAAATTTCCAAATATTAGTTGTTATTGATTCTCTAGAATGCAAAATAAGCAAACCAAAAAATTCTGTTGCACAGCAGGCTACATGGTCATCATATAAAAATGATAATACTGTACATTAAAAGCAGCTGTAAGTTGCACACCAGGTGATCTAATAAGTTTTGTTTCAGAAGCATATGGTGGTTCTGCAAGTGATCAACAGATTGTAGAAAGGTCTGTACTGTGTAAAATAACAGAGGCAAAAGACTGTGTAATGGCAGATAGAGAAATGTTAAAATTCAGGACTTGATAATTACTAAAGATGTAAATACACCCACTTTTATGAGAGGAAAAGTATAGCTGAACAACAGTTTGTTATCTTGAGACAGAAAAATATCTAGTAAAAGAAATACATATTGAACATATTATAGGAATGGCTCGTACATACAAGATTTTGAAGCAAGACATGCATCCAATAGTAACCAAACTTGGCAGTGAAATTATATGTTTTGTTATGCAATTTTAGACCATGCATTTTGGCAGAGATGCTTAATTTGTTTCACTGTTAGCCTAGCTCTCTATTAATACTGTATATAATTTTTTTTCCATTTTAAACCTTAGCCTAATTCAAGTTTTCCATTTATACTATTTTTATTTTTTTTTGCTTATAAATTCTAAGATTAAGAATGTATACTAGCATACACAGTAAGGTCTTCATTCAATTATAAATGTTATAAATGTTTAAATGTAATAATTAATGATAAAAATGTTGACATAGATTATATTAACTTACTTTTCTATTGCATTGGCTTTCCTACCAGTTAATTTTGCATTCTATTTTTTTAATTCCTCCTTTAATTGTATTGTTGTTAACCTTTCTAAATAATATTTTCGTTTTTTCATTATTTTAAAGTAAGCTATCCTTTGACCGGGGCACCTTGTTTACAACCGCATCGATATGCACATGCACAACACCTGTGTCATGTGATCACTTTTCCCCTATTACAATGTTTATTTACAAAACACAAACTGTGATGAGTGAAAACAATAATAATGATTCTATTTCATTTACAAAAAACTACAAATATATATAATAAGCAGAGAGATTATCATAGTATCAAAAATAATTAATAAAAGAAATGAAAATACTGTAAAGACACATACAGTTTATTAATTAAAATCTTGTATTGATTATATAATTTTCTTTAAAATTATAGTGTGTATAGACAAAAATGAGAAATCAGTTTATGAAGAATCTGTAAAACCATTAAAAAACTTGATTATTGATCAAATGTGTTTGTCTTCTTGCAACTTTACAGAAAATCAGCCATTTCCAAGTATCTATCTGGCAAGTAACAATCTATCTGATTCATAATGTCATAATTTAAGCTTTTTTAATAGAGTTTAATGTTCATAATGTCATAATTTAATTTTTCTAAAAGTTTGACTATCCTACAAGATGCTTATTTACATCTTCCTTTGTAAGTTTACTATTGATGGCTCCTTCCTTAATTAAGCAGTATTCCATAATTCTATTACTTAAATAGTCTTTATAATTCCTAAATATTCCATAAACTAGCAAAAGAAACTTTAAAATTAAATATAAATTATAAAAAAATGACATAAAAAGAAATCATACCATCCTGCCCAAACTGAGAAGAAATTAATATTCTCCACATATGTAGTACTGAATCTCCATTTTCTTCCTTTTCTAAAACTACTAAATAAAATGGTTCTTCAAATACTGAACTATGTCTTAAATCAACAACTGCCTGAAGATCAGGTTCAAATAAACCCATTTTTTGGCTTTCATCATCAACATGCATTTTCAATGGTGATTTGTATCCTGTTATTAATTGTTCTTGAAATATATGTAATAGCTGAGTGTTTTTCCAGTCCTAAAATTACATATTAAGTTCAGAAACATAAATTTAATATATATTTTTATTTAATCATAAATAAATCATTACTTTATTAATTTATTCCTTTCAATATAAAGAAGTAAAAATATAATTAAAACTGCTAGTAATTTTAACTATTTTAGAAATTAAAAAATTAATTACCATATTTCATTGATTCTAAAATTCATATTTTTTCACATTTTAATGCTTCTGATGAAATCATGATGTATTTTATATTTAATATCTAAGAAAACTTGAAATTTGATAACAGCAGAGTAACAAGTATAGGCTATTGTAATCTGAATATGAGCAAATTTTGTCATTTATATTCATTCTGTTTTCTTTTCAGTTATGTGCATTGATAATATTACACATATTGAATTCAATCTAAACTTTGGGACATTATCTTATCCATCTTGAGAAAGATTACATTATGATCCAACATTAAAATAAAAAAATTATGATGATTAAAACAAATAGAAATAGCATTGTAGACATAAATAAATATAGCTTTAGTTTATTATAGCATATTGGTAAAAAAATAGAAGTTGAAGATAATTCCATGGACAGTTTTATGCTACTGAAGATTAATAAAAAACTGTATACTTTCAATTTAAAATTTATTGATTATAATAATAATAATAATAGCTCTCCCGTGGTCACCACCTGGTCCAGGTGATCTAATAAGTTTTGTTTCAGAAGCATATGGTGGTTCTGCAAGTGATCAACAGATTGTAGAGAGGTCTGTACTGTGTAAAATAACAGAGGCAAAAGACTGTGTAATGGCTGATAGAGAAATGTTAAAATTCAGGACTTGATAATTACTAAAGATGTAAATNCCGATTGCCGTGAAACTTTGGGAAGTTGTTTAATATACTCCAGCGAAGGTTTGTGGCATAGTACGATTGCCATGAAACTTTGGAAAGTTTTTTAATTCACTCCTGCAAAGTACATTTATCCTACGATAGATGGCGCGCGTTTACACGAGCATTCGAGCAGTGTGTTCGATCGATTTCAAATTGTGAAGACCATTTCCCCCTTTCAAAAAATATCTCTATATATGCATTTGTTATTTACGATATTTGTAATAATTTTTGTTTAATCACTTTATTTCAACTTTTTTTTGCTAATTACGTATTCGCTCGAACTTAGTTAAAACCTTAACTGTACCCCGAACAACAACCGAAGTTGTAGGAAGAAATTCGCCTATTTTATCGATCTAGGTATCCCCCCCTTTTCCAAATTTTAATATCGACTCAAAATAATTTAAAAAGACAAATTACAATAAAACGGTTTATTATCCAGCTATCAGAAATTTCACAACATGCCAAGGAAGAGCGGAAGGAGCAATTAAGTAATCAAAATTATGAAGGATTAAAAAAAATATATAAAAATGGGAAATATCGCACTTCTAACAATCTCTGCGAGTATGTGGGCTAAATTTAAAGGATCCGTGCTTCTCACTTGGACAACTGTATGAGGCCTGTTCATGCGTCGGAAAACCTGATTTNCGTGTTCTTTTTCCTTGGTTTATATAAGTTGAAAAAATGCATTATATGCTGAAAATATGTCTATATAAAAGATTTCTTCACTTTTAGACAGCATTCAATTAATTGTCTGCATACACAATTAATAAAATTTTAATAATTTTACTATAACATACCAAACAAGTAGACTTCCATCAATTGGATGAATACTAAAAAGTATATCAGGATTTTGATGCCAATTTCTAATAAGCATATAAATTTAAAACAAATATATAAAAAATTATTTTATACTTGTCTACCAGAGGAAAAAAAGAAATAAAATCACTATGGATAAATTATAAAGTTAGGCAAAATACAAAACAATAAGAAAAAAATAATGACATAATAAACTTACTTAGTTTTTTCTTAAAAACATAAATATTTACTGTATATGTTACTATTAAAAGGTTTTAAGCTGTATTCTAGCTTAGTATTTAAGCTAGAATACAGCTTAAAAACCTTTTAAATGTACTTTCTACAAAAATTTCTAATAATAAATGCAACAGGAAGAAACATAAAGAAATGTTATTACAGCATCAGAATATTATAGAAAATAATTCCATTAAATGAATACATATGACACACATTTTAAATTAATTTTAAGATAATTGTATAATTTGTATTTTAAAAAATGTATGAGTTTAAATATTCTAAAGACATTTATCTTTGAAACATCTTTTCATTAATGTATAAATTACAGAAGTATAAAGTGTCATACTTCATAAATACCAAAGTAAACGTGTTATACTACACAAACTATTCAAATATTTAATTAAAATTTAACATAATAACTAAATTATATTTATTAACAAATTTCTTTTAATGCCCTTTTAATGTCACAGAATTTTGATAAAAAGTATGTACATAGAAAGGAAATAAAAAGAAATACTAATATAAAAATTTTTACATCTTCCAATTAAAAGTCTGATTTCAAAATGTTTTGAAATTTTAGATTTAAATTGCTTTCAAATATTTGAAACCATTTCTAAAATATAAATTTATTTTGACATAAAACATGTTATAAAGAAATTATAACATGTCAATGCTTTTATATATATATATATATAAAAGCATTGACATGTTATAATTTCTTATATATATAAGAAATTATAAATAGAATAATATTTAAAGAGATTTTGTCAAACATAGTGTTTAAGAAATAATTTAGCATATCTCCATACTTTCAATCTAGCAATATTGCAATTTCTTTCAAAGTTATTGCATTTATTTTTTCACATTTAATATCCATTTTATTAAAGTATAAAAATTCTTCACATGTTAAGTTAATAAGTAGAATTAAATGAATTAATAAAATAAACAAATTAAATAATATGTTAATAAAGTTACTATGCACTATTATGAATATAAATGTTATAATGCATAAATGAAATTATAAGTTATGTCTTTTTCTAAGAAAGATGTTTAAATTTCATTATTGTTTTTACTTTTATATTGCTTATGTATACAGAATACTGCATGCGTGTATACACGACTAAAACTGTCCACATTCTTACATAAAATAACAAATTCTTCATTTTGAAATTCCAAATCTTTGATACGTGTTCTTTTTCCTTGGTTTATATAAGTTGAAAAAATGCATTATATGCTGAAAATATGTCTATATAAAAGATTTCTTCACTTTTAGACAGCATTCAATTAATTGTCTGCATACACAATTAATAAAATTTTAATAATTTTACTATAACATACCAAACAAGTAGACTTCCATCAATTGGATGAATACTAAAAAGTATATCAGGATTTTGATGCCAATTTCTAATAAGCATATCAAATTTTCTTTCTAGTGTATCTCCTGAAGGAAGCTNTGAGGCCTGTTCATGCGTCGGAAAACCTGATTTATTCGTGTACGCACCAGGCAGAAAAACAAAAAATATCGTGTATCCACAAGCACTACAATAAATAAATAAAATTGAAACGACACTTTGAAATATTTTCCTGATGAAAATGAATAATAATAATAAGTTTCAATAAAAATGATAAAATGAAAATTTATTTTATCATAACGAGTTTGCTTGAATTTCGTTTCTTCTGAGATCGCAGAAATGCGCGACGGGTAAGCTAGTTTAATATAATTTTAACTGAAAATCCAATGTCAGTATCCACTGAAGAGGCCTAACTAGAGAAATGCATATGGATTTATTAGGAAATGTATAAATAAATACCTTTTTTGATTTGTTAACTGTCTTGTCATAATTTGTCTTCAAAGTCAGTGTAGATTGAGTTATACTCAAATAATTTTTCTAAAATATTTTAACTTTTAGAATTATACTTATATAATTGATTTTATGAAATTTGTTGTTTATGAGGTCCTGGTCAAAAGTTCCATTGGACAAAATGCTCAAAAACTGAGATTTTTTGTTATAGGTTTTTCAAAAGTATGATGCACAAGATTTTCATTATTACATCTGAATCAATAACAATGTCTTTTCCACAGCTGCATAACACTTCACTGCCAATAGTTTAATTGCAACTCATTCCATAGTCTTTTCCTAATCTGCAACCACAACTTTGTAATTCTTTTACAAACCCATGCCATCAAGGTTATGCTTGCTTAAAGAGTTACAGAATATATTGTGGTAATTGTTGCAATTGCAGAATGGTTGTAAATTGACCTGTACTTGAATTTTTGTTCATAAAACAGGCCATGAAATGATTTGCTGATGATATTGCAGCTGTGAAATAGGTTGCAGTAGAAACATCTGTTATGGAATGAATTGCACAAACTAGCCAGAAATGTTATCAGAATCACAGACATGTTCAAATTGACAAGTCTATCTTCACATAAAACTTCTTTTAACAAAAAAAAAAAAGCAAATCAACAGAGCAAATCAAACATTTTTGGAATCTGCCTAATTTCAGCTTAAGGTTTAAACAGTTTGTTTTGAATTTGAATGTAGAAAAGAACACATGTGCAGGTTCAAATTTTGAAAAGGCCAGTGGAAGACAGTGCATGTATGTTCTTTTCTATACATTCCAATTTGAAAGAAACTCTAATCAGGTAGGTTCCAGAAATGTTTGTGATTTGCTCTGTATTCTGTCTTTTTTTTTCTTTTTTGCTAGAAGCTGAAGAGATTTTGTTGTTATCTAAAGATGTTAGATATATACAACAATGTTGATAAAGTACTTTTATGACAAGTCTACCTACAAATATATGAAAATGTATGTAAATGGCTTAGCCAGAAAAAAATTGCTCCTAAAAATCATTTGCAATGCAATTCATTTGATGATTTAGTACAATTACAAGAGTAAAGATACCATACAAACACTAATACAATACTAGAGTATATGGTGTACTGCACTTCACTCTAAAATATCTTAATACTTACAGCAGTTAAAAGAATAAAGTATTTTTTATGAAAGACAGTTGCTTCTGTTGAAAGAGTGTAAATTGCAACATATTTTATTTTCAGCCAGTTTCTTGTAAACCTATTTTCCATAAGAAAGATGTAAGATCCTTTGTCCATTAATTCCAATTGACCTCTAATAATTTATTGATTTCTTTGATAAATCAACTAACCCTTCAAGAACATTAGGTTGGAAAAATCTTGTACTGTACTATATTAATTAATTCATTTTTAATCCAAAAAAAACTGTATATAATAGATTAATAATAAATTTTTACATTAAAATTTATACATACAAAAGCCATTTATAAATTTTAAATATCTTTTATTTATGATTTATCAACAACTCTTAAATGTTTTTATTCTTCAAAAAATAAAATAATTTCCTATGAATAAAGATACTAAAATTTTTAATAGTGCAAAACATAAATAATTTATTAAAATACTTTAAAATAAATAAAAGAGTAAAAAAAATTAAAATGCTTGTAAATTTTTGTAAGAAAATACATTTTAAGAATGATGGAAGTATGCTTAACTATAAAATAATAAAAATAACTTACATGTGTTGCATCGGAAATTGCATCCAATTCAATAATGCAACCTGGATGTGCAGCAGACTGAAGGCTAACAATTTTAAATGTATCATGTAAACTTAATTGTCTATAACCTAATTCTGATGAAGTGCTACTAGACATACTCATATCCTGAAAATAAAATGTATTAATATATTAGTATATGAGATTAACAAATAAATATTCATACTATTAAATGTATTTTATATTAATAATGATAACTGAAATATAAAGTATTTAACATATATATAACTTATCTATAGAATTAAAGCAATAAATCATGGTATCAGAAAGATCATCAGTATTTGCTTCATTATATAAAAAGTTTCACTGAAAAGTCAGTATTAAACAAATGTACTTTTTAATTAATAAGGAAATAATTTTCAATTGAAAACTACACAGAATATTCACAAGCAAAATTACTTGAATGAAACATACGAGGGCTGTTCAAAAAGTATCAGACCTTTGGTCGGCAAAAATACATTTATTGATTTTGAGGTACAAAACCCTAATCCCATTCAAAGTAGTCTCCTTGGTAGTGTATACATTTCTCCCAGCGTTCCTGCCATTGCTGGAAACACTGCTGGAATGCATCTTTTGGAATGGCCATCAGCAAGTCTGTCGCATTCCGCACAATGTCTTCTCTCAACTAAAATTGGGTTCCTTTTAGCGGCATTTTCAGCTTGGGAAAAAGCCAAAAGTCACACAGAGCCATGTGGGGAGAGTACAGAGCGTGACGAACCACAGGAGTGTTGTGTTTGGCGACGAAAGCCCGAATCAGATGCGCAGAATGGGCGGATGCGTTATCACGATGGAGCTGCCAAGTTTTGATCGACCACAGATCC